CAGACCCAGTTCACTCAGCCCTTCTCCATAGGAGAGATGCTCCAGGCTCCTCACCATCGTTGTGGCCCTCCACTGGACTCTTTCCAAGAGATCCCTGTCTTTTTTGTACTGGGGAGCCCAGAACTGGACGCAGTGCTCCAGATGAGGTCTTACCAGGGCAGAGTAGAGGGGGAGGATCACCTCCTTTGACCTGCTGGCCACGCTCTTTTTAATGCACCCCAGTAAGCCATTGGCCTTTTTGGCCACAAGGGCACACTGCTGGCTCATGGCCGACCTGTCATCCACCAGGACACCCAGGTCCCTCTGCGCAGAGCTCCTCTCCAGCAGCTCATCCCCCATACCACAAAGGTCATCCCCACCCCTGCCTTTGGCCCCTGCAGCTCAAGCAGGACCGGCTGTACACCAACGTGACTGCACAGCTACCACAAGGACAACCTTTCTTGAGAAGAGAATGAGGCTTCAGAAATCTGTAATTAAGGTCAGTTTAATTAAAATTGGTCTTCTAAAACCACAGTCTTTTCTTAGATTTCATGAAATTAACGGGGATGGTTTCTACTTTTAATATGACTAAAATTAGCTGAAATACAGCACATGCTTTAAAAAATAAAAGGTCATTATAATCATTTTGAACAGCTGCATCTGATTACAATTATCAGATCAATAACGAATTACTCATGAGGCCAATGTGACATCAGAGGGGACAGAGGGATATGAATATGAGGGGAGTGAACATGAGGGACATCATCTGAAATGACGGCATTGTGAAGGCTTGTGGAAGGTTGAAGAAGGGTTTTGATTTGTGCTGAGGAGCTTTAGAAGGCGGATTTAAAAGACGGAGTGAAGATGGTCTAAGCGGTAAGCATCAAGCAGAACATTCAATATCTTGAACTATTCCAGCATTGACATACAGAAGCTTTCTGTGGTACCTGGTGGTGGAAGAATCATTTGCTTGTAAAGAGTGAAATGGAGCCCTTGGCAGTGAGGGCATCAATGCTGCATAGCCCTTCTTGCCTTTGTTTTGAACTTTAAAAAACAAAGGCCTGATTAGTTGGAGCAGGCTTTTCCTGAGGGAAGAATATGGAGTATAATTACAAAATACAGTGCTTGGAGATGAACTGGAGTTGTGTTCTTTAATCCACCCTAAAGGACTTAACACTTCTATTTCCTGATACTTCTCTCAGCGTTAGACTAGCTTCTTTGTGCTGCATTTTTCTTTTTTCCTCCCCTGGTGGAACTGTAGCTGTCTCCTTGAAGCTTGAAGCATCTTTTCTTGTGGATAAAGCTGGCTCAAAGCAGAAAGGCTGGAAAAGGAGGGTACACTACAGTGCTTAAATGTGTAGTATGAAGCAGTAGTCCATTGAACATGGGTACACTTAAAACTGTCATTAGGAAAGGATGTTTCATGGCAAAGAAAGGTGTGAGAATAGCAGAGGTTACCAGAGGTCTTACTTAGGGTGCGATGTGTAGCATCCATGACAACCTTGTTTGGAACCCCATCGTTTTCGGAATAATGGATGTTTGTATGATATTTTTCTGACTTCAGCTGCTTCTCTACAGCATTGCAGCTATTCACACACTTCTGCCAGTTATGGATGTTAGCAGGTGTTAACCTCTACAACCAAAGTCCCCACTGTAATTCTACTCTACAGGCAAAGCCATTGGTTTAACCAGTTAGTGCATGGTGTGCTTGGAGAGCAGAGCTTTGCTGTAATGTATAAAGCTGCTTTAGATTAGGTCTGATTCAGGGGCAATTGCTGGCAGGCCTTGTAGCCTCAGTGGCGAAGTTGATCATCAGAGACTGATGGTTTCCAGCCTTAGTTCTTCCAGACTCTTATCTGCTAAAGTATGACTGAATTTTATGTGTGTGAGTAAACGGGGGAAATCTTCACTCCAGCCGGTGACAAGAGGCACAGTCACCTTCCCTACCTACACCCACTGATGTTCTCTGCTCTTGGAAAGCTGAGTCAAGCATCAGCCATACTTAAAAATGCCATTATTAAATGGTTGGATATTAGGAAGAGTTAATTCTCAGAAAGAGTGTTTAGGCATTGGAACAGACTGCCCAGGGAAGTGGTGTGGTCAGCATCCCTAGTGGCGTTCAAGAAATGTGTAGAAGTACTTAAGGACATGGCTTAGTGGGCTGTATTGGTGATAGGTGGATGGTTGGACTAGGTGATCTCTGAAGTCTTTTCCAACCTTAATGATTCTGTGAGGGATGTGTTGGTTCTGGGCACATCCCGACTGCTCAGCGCTCGGCTGGCGCTGGTTGGACCCATCTCTGAGCAGCAGAACCATCGCTGCTCTGGGAAGGAGCTCTGCTCTCCATCTAGACTTGAGCTTACATGGCTCAGTGACTCACTTTGTGCTCTTAACACCGAAAAAAAAAGAACTTAGAACTGGAGGACTGAGTTTCTCCAGGCTGAGAACATATTTAAAGATGTAAATGAAGGTTTTGTAGAGATAAATAAAACATCTAGAAAAGAGGGAATTCTTTAGAGGAGACACTTTGCCATGTTCCCCTTTGTGAGGGTCAGGAGCAGCTGAGTTGCTTTACTTAATGATTACCGACATTGGAAGAAGTGTGCAATGTATTGGGCTGCCTTTACTGCAGAGGGAAAGCAGTGGAATTTACTGTTAGAGATTCTTCTGCAATTCACAAACAGCCGTTCCTGTGCTGGGGGGCCCCAGGCCTGGATGCAGCACTGCAGATGGGGCCTCACAAGAGCTGATGGAGGGGACGATCGCCTCCCTCTCCCTGCAGGCCGCCCCTTGTTTAATGCAGCCCGGAACACAGCAGGCGCACGCTGCTGCCTCATGTCCAGCTTCTCTCGTTCATTAAGAATGAACTTTCCAACTTTCTCTGACCTTCCTGAAGAAAGATAAACATGATAAACGTGTTAGACATTGGAGTTCACGATCTTTCTTGCCCGAGATGCATTTAAAAAAACAAACAAAAAGACCATTAGTTGGACTGACTTTAATTCCATTATGAAAATGGGAAAGAAGGTGGACAGCTGAAATTCCATGTAATGGCAGTAGCAGAATATCTGGCTCTGGAGGCTTAGTATTTCTCAATTTGAAACTGTTATTACAAACCAGAAGAGGAAAATATCTGTATTTTCTGAAAATCTAAATTCTCAGCCTTACTAATAACTCAGGGCAGATAAGGGAATACTGTATACAGGCATTACAGAACAAAAGCATTCCTTCCTCAAAAACATCAGAGGCAAGTTCAGCGAGGGATGCTGAACAACAGGCAGGGCCAGAATGTTTTCTTAGGAGACCAAACTTTTTCTTACACCTTTTCTGTACAAAAAGATGTTTCAGAAGTAGAAAGTACTGCCTCTGATTCTATACTTGTTGGGTTACGAAAAGAGAAAATGATACAATGAGAAGGCAAAAAGGCACCAGATTCTTCTGACAAGCTCCTGTAAGCTAGAATATTTGGATAATTAGAAATATTAGTGACAGGTGCAGATCTTGAAGGTCCCTCCTGTAATTCATAATTCTGAACCTGAACATACAGGATGATCAGGTAAGTGGCATTCTGTCTGTGGATAAAAGATGAATGTTACTGGCATCAGTTCTGACAGATAGGCAGTGGGGCCATAAACAGGATCTAAGTGTGTTACAGCAGCAAACATGCATCACTAGGATACATCAGATGACTTATTCCTTCTCACTGCTGTGACACTTCCCTTGGAACGGATCGTATCACTGCCACAGTGTAAGGAGAGTTTTTTCTCCCCTAGAAATGCAACTTAGGCACACCAGGTAAGCGGGTGCCACGTCTCAGATGCACTGATGTGCTTCGTTGCTAATGTTAGTGCTCAGGCTGGTCTCCTAAGCCCTTGGCTATCTGTAACCTTTCTCTTGGTGGAGTGAGGATTTCCAGAAAGAAGACACTCACATATTCCAGGCCAGATGTCATATGCACAAACCACACCTGTGCTGCCGACCTGTTCACCTGCAGTTGTCCAGACAGGTGGCTCAGCTTTCCTTCAGAAATAACATCAAGTGAACCTGAGGGTTGTTATTCTAAACTGCTTTCAGACCCTCCAAGTAGAGTGATGCACAGGGAACAGGCAGAATTTACTGGAAGGAGAGTAAGGGAGAGTTGAAGAAGTGCAGGAATCCAGTGCATCACAGACTCTGAGGAACTAGGAGGCATTTTAGGACATCTTCCTGCAATTAAAATTAATGTGTAGGAACATTTCTTCACAGTATTTGCATGGCCCTTGGAAGTTAATACAAGTGCTGGCTGAGAAATCTGCCTCCTCTGACCTCCCCAGCACAGCACTTTTGAGGCTGGTTCTCCTTCCCCTCAGAACTAAACTCATACTGTGACTTCCATTTAATGTAAGTAGTCTGCAATTTTGGGGATGGATGCTCACTCAGGAAAGAGTTGTGACTATAACACAGAAAATTCAGAGTGCTCGTTTACACGACCATTTATTTGCCTGCTGAGTCACACTTTGTTAGCCATACGAATTGTTAAAAAAAGATACGAGCCATAATTTCATGACAAAGAACGTGCCTAAGCTTCCATTCAAAATCCTTCTCTCTCCACCATTTCCAGCCTTGGTGAGTCTATGATTCTGTGATTTTGGTTTGCTCAGCTAATATCTCCCTACACTGATATATCAGAACTAAGGACAGGAGAACAGTGTTTCTGAAGGATGAAGCAGTGTATAATCATATTATTTCTTGCTGTCTCTGACTTCCATCATCTCCCTCTTCCTAAATGAAGGGAGTTCTGTTCTGTGTTTTCCTGGCAGTAGGAATTGGCAGAGCCCACACGGACAGAAAGAACAACAGTTCTACATGTTCAGTGCAGGGTTCCTCTTCCATGAGGCATTCCCAGGAAATAATAACCTGGGAACATTTACCTCTGTGGGCTGAGCCAGAAGGGCAGCCAGAAGTTGGGCTGGGCTGTTGCACTGCCTCCAACACTGGGCAGTGCCGTCACAATGTCCAGCTCTCCTCCCTGTTCCCTTGCACTTTCTCACCTGCCTGAAATGATAATTTTTCATTCTTCTAAGTACATTCCCCGCGGGGACCCGTCATTCTGTTCCATATGTCACAAGTTTAAACCTATTTTTAAGGTAGACAAGAATATCGCTGTCATCTTCTTTCTGTTGGGACTTGGAGAGTTCAGGAGTTGGAGAGCTGAGAAAATGAGATTTCATTGAGCTTTGCCTACATTAATAGAAAATAATACACACTGCACTGGGCAAATGTGCTTTGTTGCCACCACTAACTTCTGGTTGGAGCAGCCGTAGCTCATGCCTCTCGTCCTTCAAGCAGCTGTGGGCTGTGCTCATTATGTCTCCCAGCACAGTGTGGCTCCTGTGGGCTACTTGGCCTTATCACTACTACCAGTCTGAAGCAGGGAAGGCTTTGCCAACTTGCCTCTGGAGATCAGGGAAGCAGAGGGCTCAAACAGAGCCAAAGTAATCGCAGCCAGGGAAAAAGAGCTGCCATCTCACTTCCATTCGTGGAACACCAAGGTTGGAAAAGACCTGCAGGATTATCCAGTCCAACCATCCACCTATCGCCAATAGCTCTCACTAAACCATATCCCTCAACACAACATCCAAATGTTCCTTGAACACCACCAGGGTCAGTGTTCTCTGAATGTAGGAGACTGAAAAGTTTCTTTTACTGTTAAAGATGTGATTCTGTCTGCAATGTTAGGTTAAAACCTGACGCTGCAGTATCTGCTGAGAAGGCTGAGGTGCTAGTTTTGTTGGTAGGCTCACCACGTGAAAATGCAGAGATTCCACAAGTAGCTTAAGCTTCATCAGTGGCGATTCCCTGAGGGGAAAGTTTTTACATGAGAACAAGAGGAACCCAACACAGTGTTATGCTTTTTGCTCCATAGCAAATTCCAAACATGGAATTTCACATCCACCTCCTCTCTAAAGGATGGGGAAAGGAGCTGACACTAAGGCTGGGCTATTGCTGAGCCATCTACAAAAAAAGAAATCCCTTTCATCCCTTTGCTACTGTCTCTTTACAAAATACACTGCATCATAAAGGTACTATGAAACCAGCACGTTTCTTTTTGCTGACCCTTGCCCTGAATCATAACTGAGCATATATAATCCTCAAACAGAAGAATCCTTCTATGGATTAAGAGGATTTGAAAAACCGTTGTAATTCATCCTGATGTTGAAGTATCACACCTCATTCCTTGCCAAGTGCCACTTTTATTGATCAGTCAGTGGCTGAACTGTAGCAAATACCAGCCCAGCCCTGGCCATTGTCTGCATCACATCCGTGGCTTTCTGGAGAGGCCTCAGGCGATGTGGGAGCAAGTGACCAGAACAGCTTCATTCACAGCTGTACACACAAACCACCTGCACTACAATCCCAGTCATCACAGCTGAAATGATGGGTTACGAAATTTCATCGTGGGATTTCAGGTATAATGGCTTAGAAATCTTCCTCAACTTTTCCTGGTGCCGAAACGTACGGCCTTTTTTCTGGGTAAGACCCATGGGAGGCAGATGGATCTGGAAAAGAAAATCCCACCAGTCAGGTGCAAAAGGAGATGTTACAAAAACAAACAAACAAAACCAGAAAGAAAGTAAAAAAAAAAAAAAAAAAAAAAAAAGCATACACACAGACTATTTCATTGAATTTTCAATAATTCCTTCACTCTTTGGAGAGGGCAACCACGCTGTTTGAAGTCAGGTTATTAGATTTCCAGGCAAAGAACTCTCTGAGGAGTGATCACTGGTGTGACTCTGAGGCCTCAAACATTGCGTTTAAGAAAATCCTATCTATTTGAGGTTTTGTTAATTCTGGATTTTGCAATTTGAAATCAGATTGTGACAATAACATTGCTGAAATATGTCTGCAAGCAGTATTCCAAAACAGCAAGACATAGAAAACCTGTGAAGTTCCTGAGCAGAAGTCTGAATGAAGTATGCTTTCCTCATACCTAGCCAGCAAGCCACATCCGTGTCTTGAAATACCGCCTTCTTATTCATCATCATATATACCGTACAAAAATGCACAGCCAGCGTCATGGGTTCCAGAAGCCAAAGGGGCAACAGGTAACAGCTTCTCCTCTGCCTGACAGTCCTTGTACAGTGGGAGTCACACAGCTGTATGCCCCCAGGTGACGGAAAAAAGGTCAGTGTCAGCAGTAGATGCTATTGATGCTGGAGCTTGACCCTTTAAGACAGTGCTTTAGGTGCAAATAAAGGTACTGATGGCTTAGTTTATATGAGAGCACTGATACAGGACTATCCCTTAAGGGTTTGAAGTGGATGCAAAGCATATGTTCTGATGCTCCTTTCTAGGGTCACAGCTTGTTAGACGCTCGCTGTTATTCTGCATAGTGGAGAAAAAGAGCAAGCTGTATGTGCAAGACATGCTAAAAGTGAAGGTATTTTAGGCAGGCATCCAATAAGATGCAAATTAATTTGGACCACAATCACCTTGGTAAGTAAACTCTTGATGTGAAAATGTAAACTAACCAGCAGAAGAACAAAGGCAATGCCTTTGGGAGGGCAGTGTGGGAGGCAGCGTGTAGTAATGCGGACAGGAGCAGCTGGATGCTGAGGAAACTATATTGCCTGCTGCAACAGATGACATTGCTGCACCTTCACTAATTTCCCTCATCTTGAGCAGGTTTTTTTCTAGGGACAGGTGAGAAGAAGCAGCAAGGCAGGAAGGTGCTTTCTAAGACCTGATCTATGCCAAGGAGAATAGTTACAGGCAACACAGGCCATGAAGATGACTCGGTCTATGACACATATAATTAATGTAATTAAATAGTTTTATTCTGTTCTACTCTCTCGTTACATGAAAGATAAACAAATGGATTTAATTCTGTTACCATCTTTCTCTGCAATCCATTGAGCAGTGAATCTGCTCACACAGTGACAGTCCCCAGAGCTCTTCTCACACAACAACAGCAGGGTTTGACTCCTAGAGAGGAAACAAGCTGACTTACAGCAAGGTGGGAGAGATGTCTGCATGCACCTGGCTTACCTGGCTCTGATTTAGCAGAGCACCTGAGCACAGGTGGGATGTGCGGCATGATGACAGTAGTATGGGCTTATTATTTGAGTGTCATGTAGGAGCTAATGAGGTGCACCTGTGGTGAACAGACATACTCACAGGTCTTGGGTAGGGGATGTTGTAGTGAAGTCCAATTTCTATTCTTGCCTCACATTCTTCTATGCACTGCTTAATCAGCTTCAGATCTGCCACCTAAGATAACAGTAAGTTAAAAATTAATATTTTGTAGAAGTACAAAAAATCAGCATTTCAAAACTCAAGTCTTTTTTTCCTCTTCCCTTCCTCTTTGCAGTTCCAAGGATACGATGATAGAGTTTTTCACATCTGTACTTCTGGGCTCAGTGGCACAGAGCAGCAGTACCCAGAGGCTATCAGGACTGTGAGAGTAGAAGAGGGTTTTACTCAAGTTTGGTGTTTTCTCTGTACAAAAGACAATGCGTGCATAAACTACCGCTACCCCACGAAAAGCCCCACTCTTGCATTCAGCACAAGGCAAGGCAGAAAGGGAAAGAGAAGGGTGACACATGGGTGTCATTCTGTCCTGAAACTCACACTGAAGTCAGAAACATAGTGTTCATCTGCACTTAACTGTGATTTTTACATCAGCTGAATTTAGTCCTGCACTGCACTACAATGCCTGCTCCAAAAATAATGCCTCCTATTTCATTTTGTTGCCATGTGACAGATGGTAGCAGAGGTGTATGGGAACTGCTGAGTCACGGCCTGAACCTCTGATTGATCACCTGAGGTGAGCCATGAGTCAGCCAGAGGAGCACAGGTGAAGGCAATTCACCTGTGCTACCGGAAGGGGTGGAGCCAGGCTCCACCCCTCCTGGACCTATTTAAGAGCTGGCTACCAGAGGGGAAGGATCTCTTCTGGAGATCCTCCTCTTTGATATCTTCTAGTGAGCTCAACCCAAGGGTAAGCTCTTCTACTTATTCTCTTTTGTGATCCCTGTTTGCTTTGCCTTACTCTTTTGATTATATTGCAATTATAACATCTTGGTTAT